CAAGCACCACTAAAACGCTCGGGATTCAGTGGAACGCTCTAACCGATACGTTTTCGTACACCGTTGATTCCATCCCAGCGTCATCCGGCAGTACAAAACGACAAATCCTCTCGTNGCGTCATCCGCCAGTACAAAACGACAAATCCTCTCGGCAGTTGCCAAATTGTTTGACCCCGCAGGATGGCTTACGCCCATAATGATCCAAGCCAAAATCCTGCTACAAGAACTATGGCTGGACGGAACTGACTGGGATGACCAGGTCAAGCCCCTTCGTCTGACGAAATGGATGCAATTTGCAACCAATCTCCAAGCCATTTCTAGCATCCAAATATCCCGATGGGTAGATTTTGTCCCAGCCGACCAAGTCGAGCTACATGGCTTCTGCGACGCTTCCGAGAAAGCATACTGCGCTAACATATATGTGCGAACCACGAACGGTAGCAGGACCTCTCCTCATCTGCTGGTCTCCAAAGGCAAAGTAGCGCCGCTCCGAACCACCAGTGTACCCCGACTTGAATTGTGCGGCGCCCTTCTCCTAGCGAAGCTGGTCGCCGTAGTGCAGTCACAACTCGACCTATCTAAGAGGAAACTGACACTATGGTCTGACTCCGAGATCGTCTTGGCATGGCTAGAAAAACCCCCTCATTCATGGAAGACCTTCGTTTCCAATCGCACGGCACAAATTTTAGATCTCGTCGGAAACGCCACCTGGCGGCATGTGGGCAGCAGAGACAACCCCGCAGATCTGGGCACCAGAGGATGCAGACCCCTGGACTTAGCGGCCTCTTCGCTTTGGTGGCATGGACCGGAATGGCTATTAAGCCCACCCGAAGCCTGGCCAAAACCGGCCACCCGAAATATCTCCCCTCCAGAATTGCGCCGAGTCGAGGCATTACATGCCACAGAGGAAGATCACGATATCCTTGATCGCTTCTCCTCGTTTCTCCGTGCACTTAGAGTTATGGCGTATGCTTTTAAATTTACACAGTGTCTTCGAGACCGAGTCAGACAGGTTAGGTCAAATAATCCCATCTCTCTCTCCCATGATGACCTCCGTAATAGCAAATACAGGCTCCTAGCTTTGACCCAATCTCGCTACTTTCCTCGGGAAAAGGCCTGTTTAGCAAACTCCAAACCCATAGATAAACGGAGTCCTCTGCTTCCCCTCAACCCGTCTTTAGATAAAACCGAGTTGCTCCGCGTGAATGGTCGATTAGCTCACGCCACTTTGAGCTATAATGAAAGACATCCCATCATTATTCCCGAAAAATCCCGGTTCGCCATCCTATTCACCCGCTTTCTGCACGAACTGCTCCTCCATGCAGAAACTCGTCTCATGCAGCAAGTCATAAAGCAGGAATTTTATATCCCTCGACTTAAGCCCCTCATAAAAAAATGCATCTTCCAATGTAAAAGTTGCACGGTCCACAAGCAGCAAACGCGATCGCAAATAATGGCGGCCCTCCCCTCGGAACGATGCACGTATGCTCCGCCCTTTACTATTACGGGCGTAGATTTTGCTGGACCTTTCCAGATAAAGGCCTCAATGCTAAGATCGCACACGTTGGTGAAGGGCTATGTGGCTGTTTTTGTATGTTTCACTACAAAAGCAGTCCACCTCGAGCTGTGTTCCGATCTGACCACTGCCGGATTTCTCGCTGCGTTTGCTCGCTTCGTCGGTCGACGGGGTTATCCCGCTAAGATGATGAGCGACAATGGCAAAACCTTTGTCGGGGCCAAACGAGCAACCGAAAAGGAGTTCATCGAATTTCTGAAGGAGGTATCTCAAGACGTCATCCAGAAATACTCACCTCAAGGCATCAACTGGGAATTTATTCCGCCAGGAGCCCCCCATATGGGCGGTTTGTGGGAGTCCGCAGTCAAAAGTTTCAAAATGCATCTCAAAAGGACTGCTGGACCCAGCAAATTCACATTTGAAGAGTTCACCACCCTGTTAGTCAGAATAGAGGCCGTATTAAATGCCCGGCCAATCTGTGCTCTATCCCAAGACCCCACAGACTTCACAGCGCTTACGCCTGGCCACTTTTTACGAGGCGCCCCCCTCTTAGCACTCCCTGAAGTCGACCACAGCCATCTGTCCCTCCTTAATAGGTGGGAAAAAGTGAAGGTGTTACATCACGAGTTTAGTCGAAGGTGGAAAGAGGATTATATCAAGGATTTACAGAAGAGATATAGATGGAAAAATACCCAGGCAGAACCGAAAGTCGGTGACTGCGTTCTTATTGTTGACAATACTTTACCTCCCACTGAATGGCGTCTAGGCCGCATCGAAAGGTCACATCCCGGCAAAGACGGACATGTTCGAGTTGTCGATATACGCACTCAATCTGGCACCCTTACTCGCCCCATAGTCAAAATATGTCCGTTACCAATTGGTGACGCCCCCCTCTGATTTCTCCAAATTAGCACTTGTNCTTACTCGCCCCATAGTCAAAATATGCCCGTTACCAATTGGTGACGCCCCCCTCTGATTTCTCCAAAGTAGCACTTGTTAAAGCCTTTAAGCACTTTCATGATAACAGATTCTCTTATCTCAAATGAATTTAAATCTCTGTGTATCTGAATAAAATATTCTAATCTCACGTTTCTTCAATTGTCTTGTAGACTCCCCACTGAAAATCGTATTTCACCGGCTTACTTACAGATGGAGAACGGCAACTCTAATAGCGTCCCGAAACCTGCGCCACGAAGCAACAATGGGGGCCCGACCCTTACACCGCGCAGTAGCAGCGGCATTCCTACACCAAAACCGCGAGCTAGCAGCGGTGGTCCAACCCCGGCACCCCGTATTGTGCAAAAACCGCAGCAAGAGGCCATGGTTGTTGATTCGGTTCCTGACACTCAGCCCGACGACGAAGGAGCGGACTATCAGCGATGCCGTTTGTGCGCACGTCACCATGCCCTGCGCGTATGCCACGTATTTCGCGCAATGCAGCCAGCGCAACGCTATCTGATCGCTCGTGCACACCACTTCTGTACCANAGTAGCAGCGAACCATCTAGCCACCACCGCCGCAACCTTCGCCGACCTTCAACCGCAACGCCATCTCCGTCACTCCACGCCCGGATCTCAGCAGCCTAAAGAGGAGCCGACCCCCCTTACCAGTTGCTTTTGCTCAAATGCTCTAAACCTGTTTGATAGGCCTTGAATTAAACAAAAAATGTGATATAATTCATATGAAGAAAGTAATATTCTCAAAATATTTTTACTTATGAAAAGTTTAACAAAATACAGGAATAGCATAGTCTTTAAAAACTGCTCCCCAAAACAGGACGGTCAATCATCGAACGAGTATTTGGAATATTGAAAGGAAGGTTTCGATGTCTTTTGGCAGCACGGGAGCTGCATTATACTCCGCAAAAGGTTTTAGCTATAATGAACGTTTGCTGGNACATTGAATTGTTTAAATTGATAACTTGCATATTTATATTTACCTATTAGTATCTTCAATTATCCAACTTGTAAAACGTATTTAGTGAATACCCTAACTTGCATTGTAAAAGTTTTATAGTAGTTTGCATTGAATTTGAGTGGTTGGCAACGCGCGTTGGTAATGCAGCGCGCGCAGCTGACATATAGTTTGACAAATGTCAACAAAGAATTATTATACATACATAAATTTTTCAAGTTTTTCGTGTGCGGTCGCAACCCAGAATACCTTTTCGATAATCAAAACACCGTCCTCAATTTTTATTGAATAAACGAAATTGTACCCTAAAGTTCAAGTTCGGTGGTTTTTATTTCGAGTCACAATATTGGTCAGTCGCCAAATCCGTGTCGGTAAGCGCGCAAGTCCACTCCCCTCGTTTTGAAAGTCAAGTGAGTTTGCGCAAGGAAGCCGCCGAAACCTGTCTTCGGTGTCACATTTCATCCCACGGGAGCACAACAGCCCCATCCTCGCCTAAACAGCATCCCCGCCGCGAGAATACCACATCGCCGCCAGAAGGCATTCACCGTCACCCTAGTAGCAGCGAACCATCTAGCCACCACCGCCGCAACCTTCGCCGACCTTCAACCGCAACGCCATCTCCGTCACTCCACGCCCGGATCTCAGCAGCCTAAAGAGGAGCCGACCCCCCTTACCAGTTGCTTTTGCTCAAATGCTCTAAACCTGTTTGATAGGCCTTGAATTAAACAAAAAATGTGATATAATTCATATGAAGAAAGTAATATTCTCAAAATATTTTTACTTATGAAAAGTTTAACAAAATACAGGAATAGCATAGTCTTTAAAAACTGCTCCCCAAAACAGGACGGTCAATCATCGAACGAGTATTTGGAATATTGAAAGGAAGGTTTCGATGTCTTTTGGCAGCACGGGAGCTGCATTATACTCCGCAAAAGGTTTTAGCTATAATGAACGTTTGCTGGGCTTTGCACAACATTTGTCTGCAATTTAAAGCTGAGCTGCAACCTTCAGAAGTTTTTCCCACAGTAGATGTACATTTATTACAGCAAATATTTCTAGGAACTTAAGAGATGAAATAAGAAACAGTTTAATTGCATAGGTATAGCAAAATATTTTATTAATTCAAGTGTGTGTATACACAGTAGCTCAAAATCAAATCATAGAGTGATATTTTAACAATATTCGCAATGTTTTTAATTCTGAAACTTTTTAGTAAATATTTTAAAAAAGTATAGCTGATTATCTAAAAGAAATAATATAAATCTAAGTTGAAAACCTGTGCAAAAATTAGGAAAATATCAACAAAGTTTCATACAAATTGCCAACTTTTAACTAGAATTCCTTGAAAAAAATTTGCCCGTTAGATTTTAATATAATGTGCAAGTTCGAAGTCCTTAAAAAATTCCGTTGATTTTTGATAATTTTCTTTGCTGACGGTCTTGGGCATTTTTTTCCATACAAAGTATATTTTTTTATATGGAAGAAAATGCACAACACCGTCAGCGAAGAAAATTATCAAAAATCAACGGAATTTTTTATGGTCTTCGAACTTCCACATTATATTTAAGTTTAACAGGCCAAATTTTTGTCAAGAAATTCTAGTAAAAAGTTGGCAATTTGTATGAAATTTTTTTGATATTTTCCTAATTTTGGCACAAGCTTGCAACTTAGACTTATATGATTTCTGTTAGATGATCAGCTTTACTTTTTTAAAAAATGTATTAAAAAAGTTTCAGAATTAAAAACATTGCGAATATTGTAAAAATATCAATAAAAAATAAATAAAATAAAAGTATTTTTTCAGTCTTCATTTCATAAAATTATATATGTGAAAAATTTCTAGAAACCTAAGACACAAAATATAGTTTAGTTTCATGATTCAATAATAAAAGGTTTGCTCAAAAAGCAGTTTTCTCGCTCCCTCTTGACAAAATCGGCTCCCTTAGCAAAGCATTAAGGGTACTCATTTAAAAGCGCAAAACTCTCGCAAACTGTGCAATTTTAAACCCTCGCAAATGAAATATCAAAATTTATATGGAAAGCCATTTACTTAAAAAGGGAAACTTTGCGCGGCAATTTTGTAGCGCAAGTTTGAGCAGTGTGCTGTGCATCCCTCAATCAGCTATTTTGTTTACATTCATTTTGGATTGTGCTCAACGCTTTTTCGAAATAACTGCGGTAAGACTTAAATATTTACTCAAAATTTGAGTTTCAATTATTCAACTTTATAAATTAAGTATAGCCAAATAATTAAATGTCAGAAATTGCATAAAATATAAAATTGTGCTCATGAAACACATGGCGCAAAGTTGCCCAATTGCCCAAATATGAAACTTGCGCGTATATATGAGTACCCTTATTGTGTGTGGGTTCGTGTGTGTGTGCAAAGCTTTTGTAAGGGAGCTAAGGGAGTGTCAAAACTCTAATGCCAATAATGAGCAAACCTTTAATTATTGAATCATGGTTTAGTTTCGTTGGTATATAAAAAAAAACAGGTAACAATTCAACAAAAAATTACATACAACTAATTCATTGATTGCTTGGATTTGAAATTATCATAAAAATAAAAAATATTCATTATTTTTGATTAATACAACTAAGCAACTGCTGTACCTTAATCTGCTATTTAAAAAATAAATAACTTAAAAAAGAATTCATCAGTCTTCAAGGGAACGAAAAACTTATAAAATATGAATTCGTAAAAATAACTACACTTAGATCAAAGTTTAGCTTTTAGCTTCAGCGCTTTTAACTTCAGTTTTCTTTTCTTTTTTTCTTTTTTTTTGGAAAAATTTAAATTTTTCTCGTTTTAGTTGAAGTTTAGCCTCTTCGAGCTCAACATTCCTCTTAAAATATCTACTTAAACTATTTAAATTATCACATACTTCGTCCAGCTTTTTCATCGAATTTTCGTGATATTGGCATTGGTTTTCCACTTGCAGTTTTAGTAAATTGTCTTTGCCGAGAAGTAGTGAGCGTGGGGGATTCGGTGGCTGATTCTCTGCATCATTACTTGGATATTCTTCAGGCTCCAAGTTTATACAATCAAGGGGGCTAGATGATGCAGGATCGCCGAAGGTAGTAGCACCAAAGCGCATTGTTTCAGCCTCGCCATTTATAGATTCATCTATGTTCAGTAACGCATCCACTTGTTCTTCCGTCGCAGTTAATGAACAGAATCTCGATGGCCCACCTCCTGTTCCAGACATGCTCCTTATTCTTTCGTAACTTCGCTTTAATGTTGCTTTTATAATCTGCCCATATCTACACAAAATTATAACGTTTTACAATATGGTTCACAAAACCATAGAAAGTTTGTTACCTTTTTCCATTCAACAAAGTTATGAAATGGAGGTCCGCATGAATTTAGCTCAATTTCTAGCCTCTTCCACAGATTATTAGAGGTTTGCTTTGCTGCTAAACCCTTAGTTTGACCTTTCGCCAAATCGCTGTGTTCCATCATGAAATTTACCAATATTTCAAGTTGTCGAGGCTTGGTATTTGGTTGTTTGATTTTCGTTATCCTAAAAATTATTTTTTATTTTACTATACGCACATCCCGAGTGCAACAAACAGGGTAAGAACAGCTATACTGGTAAAGAAAAATTTACACTCTTATATTGATCTTAATTTCTCTTCAGATGATCTGACGGTGGTAGCTGTGAAGGATGGCAAGGATGACACAATACTCCTTGCATCTTGTTACATGCCTCACGACGAGGAGGCGCCACCAAACGAGCTCCGGAGGTTGGTGGGAGAGGCCGAGAAGGCGAAACGCCCACTCATCATAGGCGCGGATGCCAATGCGCACAACACAGTATGGGGGAGTGGAGATACCAACGAAAGGGGTGAGTCTTTACTAAACTTTATATTAATAAGTAATTTAGATATAGCTAACCGGGGTGAGGAACCAACTTATATTGGCCCTACCTCGAAGAACGTCCTTGACATAAC